AAAAAAAAAAAAAAAAAAAAAAAAAAAAAAAAAAAAAAAAAAAAAAAAAAAAAAAAAAAAAAAAAAAAAAAAAAAAAAAAAAAAAAAAAAACCAACCGAAAAAAAGCCAAAACAAAGACCGAAGAAAGAACAGAGCCCGGTATTTGCCTTAACTCCACTTAAAGCCCAGTTTGAGGATCCGTGAGGGTTACTTGTGAGAGCTAGAGAGGTCGTTTCGGAGGTCACTCGAGTCAGGTCGCTGAGGAAATGGCGCGCGGCGCAGGCCGAGGCCGCTCAGCGGGACGCGCTGTCCAGCGGCGCCGGCGTGGCCGGGGTGCCGGCGCGGGACGCGGCCACCGAGCCCGGCTCGCCGGGGCTGCCCGCCACGGCGGGGACCCCGTCGGGCTGGCCCGGCCCGGGGGCGCCGGGGCCCGGCAGCCCCTGCAGGGTCTGCCCGCAGACGTGGTGGTGCTTCTCCCAATCCTTGTGCTGGCAGAAGGAGCCGCAGTAGCGCGCGGTGTTGCAGCCGCTGCACGTCTCGCTCGCCTTGCGCCCGCAGTTCCAGCAGCTCTGCGGGAACGGGAACACGGCCTCAGCTCCGGAACGTGCGGCCCAGCTGGGCTGGGCGCCCTCACCCGGGACTGGCACTCCATCATGCCAGAGGGTGTACCTCCATCCCAGGGGGTGTACATCCATCCCAGAGGGTGTACATGCATCCCAGAGGGTGTACCTCCATCCCAGGGGGTGTACATCCATCCCAGAGAGTGTACATGCATCCCAGAGAGTGTACATCCATCCCAGGGGGTGTACATCCATCCCAGAGGGTGTACCTCCATCCCAGGGGGTGTACATCCATCCCAGAATGTGCACATCCATCCCAGTCTGTGCACAGCCATCCCAGAGAGTGTACATCCATCCCAGAATGTGCACATCCATCCCAGTCTGTGCACAGCCATCCCAGAGAGTGTACATCCATCCCAGAGTGTGCACAGCCATCCCACAGGGTGTACATCCATCCCAGTCTCTGCACATCCATCCCAGTCCACGTACATCCATTCCAGACCATGTACATCCATCC